TGACTAATACAAGTCAATTTCCTAATATTAGTCAAACATATGTCCTTATCGAGACTCGTGACTCCTACAAGGTGCTAGTAGGCAGGTATTTTGTGAAATTTTGAGAAACTCCAAGTCCTGCCATGAGCATCTTGGGGAGCAATCTGCACCAATATGCGCATCACATATAGTAATTTTCTTATTTTTATTTATTTATATATTTTTAGAAAAAGCCCAGCAGCGTAACACAATGTAAATTGGCCTTCCAAACCAAACCTTTTCCAAAATCACATTAATTGACAAATTTCACGTGCTCTACCGTCGGCATCAGTACATCCACGCCAGTAGGCCGTACGTGCCCACTCTGATTGGCCCACCAGCTCCAACAGACACACCTCACCTCATCCAAGCTCCCCCGTCCCTCCAACCTCACCACCGCAAAACCGACCATCACGACGACCTCGCCGCAATGCGCTTCCCAGCCCTCGCTGTCCCGGCCCTCGCGGCGCCGGCCCTAACGGCCTCGATAACTCTGTACCTGCCGCCCGTTCCCAACCCTTTCACACTGCCAGCCTCGACGCACGCAACGCTGTCCACGCTCGGCAGCGCCTTCTCAGCACCCATATCCGCCCTCAACACGTTCGTCTTCCACAACGTCACGCCCGGCTCGTACCTAGCCGACATCCACTGCAAAACAGACGGCTTCCGCCCCCTCCGCATCGACGTGGCCCGCGGCGCCGACGGCAAAGAGACGTTCCAGGCGTGGGACACCTTCCGCGGCAACGAATGGGGCAACAAGGGCGAGGCGCTGGCCGTCAAGGACGGCAGCGCAGGATGGGGCGTCGAGGTCAAGAGCCTGGGCAAGAAGATGTACTTTGTGGACAGACCGCAGTGTTAGTTGGCTATTTTGTGTTTGCTCAAATTTTTGCTCTCCCCCCCCGAGGTCTGCGGGTGAGCTTGGCTAACGGGGTTGCCAGTTTCCGCGCTGAGTATTTTGAAGAACCCCATGATCCTGATGGGCCTCGTGAGCATGCTCATCTTCTTTGGCATGCCGAAGCTCGTGGACAACAGTGCGTGGTAAAACGACGGAGCGCGCGTTGGCCGGAACAATACTGACAGGCGTGCAGTGGACCCCGACTTGAAGGCCGAGTTCGAGGCGCGGCAGCGCGAAGGCCCCATGGCTGCTATGAGCGGGCAGCAGCAGAATCCTCTGGGCAACTTTGACATGGCTGCTTTCTTGGCGGGCTCGGGGAAGAAGGAGGGTGGTGGTGGTGGTGCGGGGAGCGTCAGCGATGGGAGGAACGAGCCTGTTAGACGGTGATTTTGCTGCCGGGATGGCGTATACATATTTCGATGCGAAATGGCGGGGACTGTGCCGTGGAGATGGGGCAGAGTAAAAAGGACCTGGCATATGAATGGTAAAGGTGGACTTTGTATCTGTTTACGTATAGCTGATGTGGTTTGTAACAGCCAACATTGTACACGGGAACAACTGAGAACCGAGGTTACGACTATTACGAGCGACAATACTCGGCAACTATTATTACACAAACATTCGACTTGGGGCGGGGGGACAAGATAGATCAACTTCTATATACCCCCCCACAGCTATGCTACGCTCTAGAATAGAATAAATTTCCCATACCCAAGGCCGTTCCTCATAGAAAAATCCCCCATTCTGCTTAAAAGTCGCCGCCGTCAAAATCACCGCCACCGCCGTAATCATTATCCATGCCGTCCTCTGTAAACATGTTAGCGATATCTCAAAAGAAACTGGTGCAAGGAGGCAGGTAAACTTACGGTATCCCTCATTATACTCGGCCTGGTCATGGTCGTGAATAGCGTCGGCAATCAACGCGCCGCCCAAAACACCAGCACCCAAACCCAAAGCACCGCCCGCAAGGCCCATTCCCATACCGCCCATACCACCACCGGGTCTCCTTCCCGGCTGCTGCTGATAACCACCTTGCGGGTATCCGCCACCATAACCACCACCATATCCGCCCTGGGGAGGATAACCTCCGTACGGGGGCTGAGCGTATCCTCCGCCGTATCCTCCCATAGGAGGGCCCTGCTGAGCGTATCCGCCGTACTGCTGTGGCGGCGGGCTGGAATAGTAGTTCTGATGCTGCTGGGGATAATAGCCACCGCCGTGGTTAGCCTGTCCGCTCTGTGAGGTTTTCCCCTTGCCAAACAGCTTTCCTAAGAAGCCGCGATCTTTGCCCCTAGCATCGTCTCTGGGAGGCAACTCCGTGGGGAACGAGCCTTGTGACTGTCCAGTATGGCCCTGGGCATATGAATCGGCCGCGCCGCCGGTAGCATATCCGGCGGGTGGTGTCGGGCCTCCACGGGCCTTTGCATCCTCCTCGGCCTGAAGCTTCGCCGCCAGCTTCGCATCCTCGTCCTGGGTTGAGGATGAGCCGGCATGCTTGTTGTCAGCCGACCGATCTTCGTAAGGGTTCTTCTTGGTATCTGTCGGTGCGGGCCCATTGCCAGTCTCATACCCCGGTGGGGGGTCATCGGGTGTATTCTCGTCGACGGGGAAGACGGGCGCGGTGGGCTTCTCCCATTGCGATTTCTTGGTGTACACATTAACATAGAACCTGGGGCAATCGCGTAAGCATTGCATTCCCCAACCAAGACCTGCATCGAGTCCTGGCGATAAAAAAGGCGCAGCTCACCACTCCTTGTACTGATCGTTCCAGCGCGCCACCCAGCCAGCGGGTACCTCTGGAGCCTTCGGCGGCGGCGGCCCAGACGGCGGGGCGTAGTCTTGCATTACTAGAGCCAAAAAAAAGGAGAGAGATTCGGTTCTTTTTTTTCTGGTGACGTGGAAGCGAAAAGGACCCTGTGGGAATTATGTCGAATTGCGGGATTGTGTTGATGAGGGAAGAGGCAAAGCGCCGAATGAGACTTGCGACTTAGAAGAGGGTGGGTAATAAATCGACCCGGGGAGGGGTAAGTCACGGATAGGCAGGAGCCAGGAATTCTGCACGCTCAGAGATTCCGTCGCAGGTGTGTATCTGACAGAGTACAATTAAGAATATGGAAGAAAGTGGAGGAGGAGGGGGGGGAGGAGAAGAAGAAGAAAGGATCTAAGGGCAAGATAAACGCGCAGGATTCTTGGACGCGTTTATGAATGAGAGGCCACGCATGCAGGCAAAACACTTGGAAGAAGCTGGCATGATCGGGACGCATCAGACGGACCCCGCGCGCAAGAGCCACAAGGAACCAGGCCAAGGAAGAGGGAGCCACCTCCGCTAAACCACGATGCCTGCCTGTTTTGGAAAGGCTGTCGTCATACCAGGCGACCCTTCATTGCTTGGCCGCGGGAGAAAGCTTCTACGGAGTCCTCGGTACGCTTGCACTGCCACGCTTTTCTCCCCGGTGCTCAGGTCTGCAGGAGGCCTAGTCTGCACGTAAATAATAAATCGCCACACAGCGTCTCCTCACCTCACTTGAATGCTTTACCTCGGCCACTTCTAGCCACAGCCTCGCTGACGAGAATATTCCATCGCATACTTAGCCGGGCTCGCCCCCAGAATCTCCTCGCGTGGCAAACTTGTATTCGATCAAAAGTGTGGCTGGGGCTGACGCAGTACCCTCATCAACCTACGTGCTTCCAAATTCGTCCCCACACGCAAACACACTCATCCAGGGTCAGATGCGTCCAGTAGAAAAGTGTATCATGCCTATCCCCTACAAGTTTCACCAGGCAACATCGCCCGCTTCTACCATTCTATCTTTCCCATGTATTCTCAATATACAAAAGAGCAAAAAGACAAATCGCTAGTCAGTTTAAACATATCCCAGGTCCTCGCCAATTCGCCGCTCCCCGAATAGATACGCCGCTTCCAGACAATATCGCCCATGTCCCCTCTCCATACGTCTCTCGCTGCCGTAGCATATGAGAACCCCATCCACAATGCCACTCAAAATACCTTCCATGGCACCCATAACCGAGTATCCAATGAAGCTGGCCATGATGCCAACAACATACGCGTAGGCTGACCCGCGGACGCCCATGCCGTCGGGTAGCTGAATTCGGAGCTGCTTCGCAGTAATAACCCATCCTGCGAACCCAAGACCTGTGGCCATAATCAGTCGTGTAGCCACGAGAAGCAGCTTTGCTAGTCGATAAGGCAGTAGTCCCTTGGCTTGGCCTCGAAGACGCAGTGCTCGGGGTGTTAGTGTCGTCGTGGGAATTGCGGGCGACACAATCTCCATTTGGTCTAGCCCTCTCGCCGAAACAGCAAGACTTTGCGAGTGAATGGCACAGTATGTAATTGTCAAAGGATTTGTAAGAGCAACAATCGGCGTGGGAATCCAGAATCCCGCCAAGTTGGTAATCGCTCCACCGATCCGCCTGGGAAGCAACAGCAACGGCGCTCGAATCAACAGTGAGAGTAATGTAGACTGGCAAATACTGCCAAAGATTATCGTAGTCCCATGGCCAAGGGCTGCCGTAACGATTTCTCGGGATGGCGTAACGGGACCGGCGTTGCGGTGGAAATACCACTGCGAAACCGTAGCTGCAGTTGTTGCACGGTGAACAGCATTGATGACGGACAGAGTCCACATGTACATGAAGATAAAGGCAGCCCCAAGCCACCAACTTGACATTTGAATAACGAATCTCACCAATGATTTTGAAAAGTAGCCACCCATGAAGACGCGCGTGAACATGGCCAGCCAAGCCCACGTCCACAGAACAATCAGTGCAAGGCAGCCAAACCCAATGAGGAGCAGACCTGAGTTTTGTGCCAGAATCTTGGACGAAAACTGCAAAATCTCAATAGCCTGCTGGATGGCCCGACGGCCCTTGACAACCATCCAGAGCCACAACACGCAAGATGCAGCGGGAATCAGCGATACCCACCGCATGACGGAATCTTGGAAACTGGATCCGTGTGTTCTTCCCTGGAATGATGAAATAAATGAGTACAGCGAAAATGACAGCATGATGACCGGCACTGCGATCAGAATTACGCTGACGAGCGGGCGAACAAACGATCGCAGCGCGGCAAGCCATATGAAAGATACAAATATGGCAACCACCGTGTCCACTGCCAGCATGTCAAACGACTTTTGAAGCGTGGCATATATCGTGTCACCAACTGGACTCTTTTGCGGTGAGGTGTGCAGCCAAACCAGCACAAATGTCGACAGCATTCCCGCGAAGCTAATGAGATATATCCAAGCAAAGAAAGGATCATGCTTGAACAACTCGCCCTCGGTCAATAAATTCCCTGGTTGGGCGACCTCGTATTCCAGCGGGTCATTTCTCCGGACACTGCTGACATCGGACTCTGTTGTAGATGTCCTCCTCAAGATGAAGGGTTCTCGCTCTGATTGAGACTTGAACCTTTGAAACGGTGGCGAACTAGAGTCAGCTGGTGCTTCACCTCCCAGCAAGGATTCGGGCGGATCTTCATCTCCTTCTACCTGGGAATCCAGCCCGACATCGACCATAATCTTGCTCTTTGCCTGTGGATGACTACCAGCATCCTGATGCTGCTCTTCGCCCGATTTCGAAAGTTCCTCGTTCTCTTCGAACAATGTATCGCCGGCGAAAGGTGGCTTGTGCGAGCTCCTCGTGCCGTTCCAACTACTTCTGATGCCTCGGCTAAAGATGCGATCTTGATACGGATGGTCCACATCCCCCGTGCTGTCTTCAATAGATCCGCGACTATTGGCAGACTCGGTGCTCTCTGCAAGTTTACTAGCTGCAGCTACCCGCCGGGACCTTTGCAAGGCAAACAAGTCTGCGGCTTCCCGCTCCCGCTCGTCCTCGTCGTCGTCCTCTCGAAACTCGTCAAAGGTACTGTGGAAGAGCGGGGCGTCTTGGGCTGCCGATATGCGCGAGGCAAATCCTATGTTCCCAAATCTCGAGCCACTGCCGTTCTGTTGATAAGGATTGCCACCATATCCCCTCGATAAAAATGACCGATGCGCTGTACCTACCCTGCCGCCGTCTCGTTGGCTTCGGCCTGGCCTTGATGGCGGCCACTCGTTGGATCTGGGGTTATCATTATCGCCCTGCCCAGCAAAACCCGAGAGCCTTGACTGTGACTGTGCCAAGAACCGTGACGCATCTGTGAAACCCGAGATTAGTTCCATCAATCACAACAGCAATGTAAAATGGTCAATAACAAACATTCTGAAAACATGGTGCTGCGTGTCTTGTATCCCCTATTTCACCATCCACCCCCACAGGCCCCTAATGCTGTGAGGCCTTCTCCGACGACGACTCTGACGAGTAGTGTCGTTGGGCAAACACGGTGATAGAGGTAACTGATGCCAGGCTCGCCTCCGGAGCTCGAGTGCTCGAGGTGCTGGGCTCAAGTGCTGGGTGCCGATGATGTGGAGTCCGTCGTTTCTCGACTACGACCGCAGCCCCCGAGTAGTCTAGGTTGAGGGTATCGAAACGGGATGCAATAGCAGACGAGTGAGGCTTCTGGTGAAAGGTCTCGGAGACGAGGGAAAGAACAAAGATGATGATAACAAAAGCTCCGAACGCCGAAGTGTCGGGAGTTCTGGTCATGCGACGTGAGGCGGATGAGGTCGGAGGTCCTGGGGTAAGTACCTAGGTAACTTGCCTACTACCAGGTACGATAAGTGACTGGACGGGCAACGGGTCAGGCTGATAGGCTGATGGGATGGTGGATACCTCTGGCAGTTCGTTACCTAGACCGGCGTGATGGCTTGGTAGGAACAAATGTACCCTGCATTGTAATGTCACGAATGGGTGCCGTTTTGGGTGACGACTCAAGCACGCTAGTCGAGTCGGCCAGGCGGTCAGCAGAATACGTCAGGCGGGGAGTCACACGCCCCACCGGCTGCTGGCCACTCGCTGGCCACTCGCTGGCCACTTGCTGGACAATCACGCTTGAGCACTCAAGCACCAGACTCGAGCACCAGACTCGGTGGAGCAGTGATCACAGTGGAGGCGCTAAGAATCACCGCCAATGCTTTACAAATGGACCAAGAGACCCTCGAGACTCCCGCTGGGCGATTGTTCAACTCACACAGCAGAATCAATTGATGTCTGGTCAATGCGGCTTGGACAGTGAAGCTTGTGAAGCCTGCGGCCCTCTTATCACGCTTTGTGCACCGATCTGGGACAAGCCGCAGTCTGTGCATGGGGTGACGTACCTACCTAAGTAGGTACCTGGTAGTTATCAATTCAGGTCGGGAATCTATAGATTAAACTCCATTCAACGCCAACCTGCGCCATTGACTGAAACGATTCCAAAGTGCTATTCTATGTACATCGCAATATGCCGGGTGGGTTGCAAGGCGACATGTAATAATAAAGATTCTCCAAAACGGTTAAGCTTATTTCTTAGTAGTTATCAATCCTGGGACGCCCATCAGCCCAGCGGCTGCTATTTCGGCGGGAATGCGGCTGAGATGCTGTCTGGTTCGTCCGAGTCTACGGAGTAGCGACGCCCGATTTGTATGGGCTGATCCCCTCGGGTGCTGATTGTGGAGGAAGATGGGTATTAAGTGGCAGGCTTTGTTACGAGCCGGAAATGCATAAATATCACGAGACGGGAGCGTGTCTGCGTCTGCCCAGCTACCAGTGACGGACAAGCAGCAACCCGAATACGTGCTCAGTAGGAAGGAAAGGCAGCAACATAGCGACCCCCTCAGCATCATGTCGTACCAACCTCAAGGATACCACCAGCAGCAACAGCATTACCCGCCACCTCCTCCCCATCCTCCTCAACCGCCACAACAACAACAACAACAACAACAACATCATCATCCGCAACAGCAGCAGCAGCAACAGCCCTCGACCGACAGCGGCTCGTTCCCCGGCGGCAGCTACAACATCGCCCACCGCGACACCAATGCCATCCTCAACGTGAACCTCCAGCCCGGCGGCACCGTGCGCTCCAAGTCCGGCGCCATGATACACATGTCCGGCACCATCCAGCTCCAGGGCAACATCAAGTTCTCCATGAAGAAGCTCTTCACGGGCGGCAGGATGTCGGAATCGACCTACACAGGTCCGGGGAGGCTGGCCCTCGGCCCCACGCTCATGGGCGACATCATCACGCTGCACGTCGACGGCCGGACGGGCTGGACCGTGGGCAAGGACACTTTTCTCGCCTGTACCCCCGACGTGGTCATGGAAACCAAGGCCCAGGGAGTCAGCAAGTCCATGTTTTCCGGCGAGGACTTGTTTGTGTATCGAGTGAGCGGGCAGGGTCTGCTTTGGCTGACGAGTTTTGGGGCCGTGGATCGTCTGGATGTAAGTCGTCGCCGCCTCCGCACCCTTTGTCATGACTCATGACGGGCCGTATCATTATCGGGGGGCTAACATTCCTTTGAAAGCTCCCACCTGGCGAACAGCATATTGTTGACAATGGGCACCTCGTCGCCTGGAGCTGCGACTATAAAATCGAAAAGGCTGGCGGTGGTGCCATGAGCAGCTTGAAGACGGGAGAGGGCTTGGTGTGTCGCTTCACGGGACCGGGCGCTATCTATGTGCAGACGCGGAATATGGACGAGTTTGACTCGTACATAAGCTCCCGTAGCAGCTCTTAGTTGAATCCCACCAAGAAGGGAAGACTCCGGCTTCGTGATATCTGGATTCAAACACAACAGAGCCTTTTCTTCCAGGGGCATCCTTTGAGCCATCTGCTCTGGAAAAATACTGCCGCGCAAATCATGCCTTACCATGACGATATAGCTCAATCCATCTTAAGCAAGCACTTCCCCAAATACACATGTTAAGTTAATAAAAAAAATGAGGCAGATGATCATGCAAGACATGCAGTAACACTATATTTTAGCCGTACCTAGGCCAGGGGAACCGTAACTAACCATGCAATACACCACCAACGCATCGCGATGCGCCGGACACACCAGCACCAGATACACATATGGAGATAAAAGGGCTCTTCTGTTTCCTGTAATTAAAATTCTCAAAAATAAACTGTACGCCCACTCGTCAACCAAGCTTTCCAACTTGCCGCTGGGCCAATCCAACTACTGCAGGTCCCCACACTTTAGTCCGTCGCAGAAGAGACATCGGGCCCCATGAGCCGCGTGACGACACGACGACAACTACAAGACCCGCCCTAGGTCCGTGGCTTTCGACATCATCTGTATTGCTTTTCCGTCACTCTGCGGTTTTTTCCACCTTTACCTCTATTGCCAGCCGTCAACGTGCCGGGCCCCCAACTCAGAAACACTCCCAATCCATTGATTTATCATAGCGAGGTTTTTCCGTCTTCCCCTCGAATTACTGGTATACAGCCAGCAGCCAGCTGCCCGACGCAGCCACACGTGCTCAACCGCCCATCGCTCTCGATAAGCTCATCCCACCATCACTGTATCCCATCCGCCGGCGCCAATCCCAGTTCCTCGGCCGCGAATCCCCATGGCCTCCTCGCCGTGGGACTACATCGCCAAGCTCGTCTGCATAGGCGACTCGGGATGCGGCAAATCCAGTCTAACCATCCGCCTCTGCGAAGGCCGCTTCTCCCCCCATCACGACGTCACCATCGGCGTGGAATTCGGCTCGCGCGTCGTCCCCGTCGGCCCGCCACACACCAAGCCCTCCAGCTTCCTGTCCTCCTCCATTACCCCTTCTGCAGGGGCTGCGGCGGCGCCCGGCACGGATGGCCTCCCCGAGCCGCCCCGGGACACCAGCAAAACGCCCCAGAAGCACATGAAGCTGTCCCTGTGGGATACGGCCGGCCAGGAGACCTACAAGTCCGTCACGCGCTCCTACTTTCGCGGTGCGAGCGGCGCCCTCCTCGTCTTCGACCTCTCCCGCAGACAGACGTTTCAGCACGTGACGGACTGGCTGAATGACCTGCGGCAGATTGCGGAGCCGGATATCGTGGTCGTCCTCGTGGGGAATAAGGCCGACTTGACGCAGCAGGAGGAGAACAAGAGGGAGGTTACGCGGGAAGAGGCAGAGGAGTGGGCGAGGAGAAACGGGCTGCTGGAGTATGTTGAGACGAGTGCCAAGAGCGGAGAAAATGTCGAGCAGGCGTTTATGAGGGTCGCGGAGAGGATATTTCACAATATCCAGGCGGGCAAGTATGATTTGAATGACAGGAGGTCTGGCGTCAAGGGGCCGAGTGCGGGTGGTAACCGACAGGTGAAGTTGGGCGGAGACAGTAAATCTGCCGGTGGTGGCTGTTGCTGACTATTATGTCGAGGGAATGGCTTTATGCTTGTCTGGACGGTGGTGGTTTGAGACTCTTGATGACGCAAATACACCAGAGCATGTATGCATGATACCCCTGTCATTAAACATTTTTCTGTTGCGCAATCGCTTCGATTGTGGGCGCGTCATTACTATCATCACTGGATAAAATTGCATTCGAATTAGAAATTAATGCATAATGTAATTGCTTCGCTCACCACATTTCAACCCACTCGTTACTTGTGTTCAAAAAGGAGAACCATCACGATTGCATTAGTCGCAGAGTTATTCTCTGCGGTAATTCTACACACACACACCATTTCTTTTGTACATTCCCAGCCCGGCCCAAATATCATGAAACAAACCGCCTTGGGCGTATCCATGCCAATATTTTGGTGAAATTACCTACGTCATTTGAAATATGGCACAGCTGCGAGCCATAATGTCATAGTTGTGTGTTTAGAGAGAGGAGCTTGGTTTTTGCGTTCGTCATCACGAGCAAAGAGTGCCTTGGCGTTCACTCTCTGCGGCGCAGCATATTGCATGGACAACACCGCTTAGTCACTGATTCTCCAGTTATCGAACCATCTCAGATAGCTGTACTGCTGGTTGGGGCCAACCATTCCCCAGCAGATAGGCATGAAGAGGACGTAGAGACCAATGATGACAGCATACAAGACACCATATGTGACGCACTGGATAGTCGTATTGCGGTTTCTGACGGTCCAATCCACGAGAAAGCCAAAAGTAAGGATGGCAAAGTACAGAGCCGGATAGTAGTGGTGCACGTAGGTGACACGAGCCATGATGACGAATGGCAAGTAGTGCAGGAACCAGCCAGCAACAGGGTAAATGCCAGAGTAGTGGATTTGGTCAATTTCCTTGTTATTTAGGTCGGTGAAGCCGCGTTGCCATCTCAAAATGTACCACACCACAACAAGGCCGACAATGCCGATGCCGATGGTGGAACCCCAGTAGACTAGAGGGTTTCCGAGAAGGAAGTACTTGACAATGTTGTCATCCCAGCCACACATGCGAAGGCCAACGTGAAGAATGGGCCACTGCCACCACTTCGAGGCAAGGTCATCCTGCTTGTCAGGGTCGGGAACCAGAGCATTGTTGGATGTCATCATGGCAACGTTGAGATGAATGAAGTCGTGGAAGAAAGGAGACTTGTAGACACCAGGGTCACCGGCAGGCAGCTTGTCGTTCCAGTGGGCCTCAACGTTCCAGTGGGTGTAAGCATCCTGAGGGTTGTTTTCCGTGGTACAGGAAACCTCAATCTGCTTGAAACCCCACTGAGGAAGGTTTTTATTGGTGCCCTTCAGATAGCAACCCAAAACTTCGTGCTTGAGGCGGAAAGCCGTGGTCAGAGTGCGGATTCGGCTACGATCCCGGGATGCAACGTCTCGGATAACCTCAACCTTCCAGTGATCCTTTTCGTCGCCAACAGTAAGGTTGCCGTAGGAAGAGACTTCCTTGTCGCTCTTGGACATTGGCGCAGCGATATCGTGAGAGTGCAGGTTACGTCCGGTCTGGGCGTGAATCAAACGGATGATGCTACCGTCGCCAATGAAGCGAAGATCCGGGGACTCGGCGTCGTAGTCAGGCTCCCGGCGGTTAGGATAGAAGAACCAATCGTTGTTGGCATCCTTATGATGGTAGCAAGTAACTTGCTGTTGCTGAGAGCCTTCAGGGTATGTCTGAACGTGGGAGTGAAGCAGACCGCCACCGTAACCCATATTTTTTATAGTAGCACGAGAGCCGTAGGCAATTTCCAATGGGCTGTTCTTTCCAACCTCTGTGCCCTTCAGGTTAGCCTGGAAAAGAGAACTCATTTGGGCATCACCGGGACCAGTGCGATCGAGGATGGCGAAGTGAAGGGCGAAGGAGAGGAGGTAGATGAGGAAAGGAACGACGATCAATCCAACAACACGAGTGCCAACATGGGCAGCCAGGGTCGTCTAAATGATGTTAGTGCATACTGAAGGCAGACTTGGAACGAATGAATGAATGATTCAGATGGCGCTTACAATGGGCATCCTGGTGTTGCCAAACTTGTTCCACAAGTCCTCAATAGTGTACAGACCAACAAGGGCCGTGACAAATAGACCAACCAGCTTAACACTGCAGACACAACCAATGCTAAAACCAGTCATGAAGAGCCAGAAGAACCACTCAGGCTCGAAACTGTTGTGGCGCTGATTGTGGAACTTGGCCCAGCAAAGGGTAGTAGCCACAGTACCACAGAGCAGCATCGAGTCGAGGAGGATAAACCGGCTAATAGTGGTGTATGAGTTCTCGCAAAGGACCATCAGTGTAACAAGCCAGACGGCAGGTCGGCGGAGGTTAAGCTCGCGGGCAGTGTAGTAAGCCATGGGAATGCAGACGATGCCAAACAAGGCATTGAAGGCACGCATGAAGGTATAGTTGACATCCTCGGGGTACTTGTCGCCAGATTTAAACTCGAAAGATCCATTGTATCCACCAAGAACGCCAGACAATCCAACGAGCATCTTTCCAAGAGGGGGGTGGACATCGAAGTAATATTCATGCTTGATGTAGTAGCTGCCGAATTTACCAAAGCTATGATTCCCCAAGATCAGCAATCATAGCTGGGATGAAGAATGCGGCAGGAAGCCACACAGAGCAAACTTACTGAGCCTCATCCCAGGTAACAATGTCGCTCAGACCAATCTTCCACAATCGCGTAAAGAATGCGAGGGCCGTGAAGATGAGCGGAGCGATGATGTGTTCCCAATCAACGAAGGTGTCAACCAGGTTCTTTTCTGCCTATTTTAATGGTCAGTTTTCAATCCGCCGTAAGCATCTTCGGTAGTCAGTTTTTTCCTGCTTCGGTCTCACCTTCTGAGCTGCCTGTTTCTTGTTATCCGCGGGCTGAGGTGCCACGGGAACTGGAGTGCCGTTATTCACAGGACGCTTCCTCAGCCCCTCGCCGACGTCAGCGCCGGAGGCGACGGCGGCCTTTTCGCCTGCCATGGTGAATGGATTAAAATAAGACTTATAAAAATTCGACGTGACTCATTCGACGTGGAACAGGGAAAAGTGACACTATCGGGCGTTGGCAAGCCCAAAGTGCCAATTGTGTTTTCGAAGCGAAATGGGAACAAGGTATTGGGAGAAGAAGGTGGCCTCGAGGAAGAGTAAACGACGGGACGAGCTAGGAGAACTCAAAACTATGAAAAAAGGACCCCTGTTGATCGACGATGGTAGGCTCGTCGTCAATGGGAAAAGAATAAAAAGCCCCGAGAAAGAAGGGGGAAACGATGCTCAGGAGATGGCAAGGTTACCAAGAAGGGCAAGGTGAAGGGCAAGGAGAAGCCAAGCTGGCTTTTGATGTTGAGGGCAATTCTTAAGAATACGATTGCGGCCCCCTGGCTGGCTGCGGCTACACGGGCGGCACGAATTTGGCTGCACGGGGGAAGCCACGCTGGGCTGCTGGGGAGCACTTGAGCACTGGAGCCCCCCAGATATCACAGCTGAGTGCGCTAAAATTGCCACACATTCTCCGGTGCTTGGACGAAATGCGGGCAGCAAACAAAGTAACTAGTCCAGGGAAACACGCAGCGAACCAGAACCCTTGCTGAACGCGTGGCTCCAGAAAAGGCGGGTCTCCAGTCTTCAGACCTGACACCGACATCCAGATGATGTCCCTAATCAAAGGCGGCCCTTGATGGTTCCTGGATGCCGTCTTGGTGCAGTTGCGGGTCCTGAACTGCACCAAATGCTCGATGAGCACTGGACAATGAAGCCATTAGCACGGAGTACGCCGTAGATTTCGGATGCCTTGACGGGAGAAAGATGAGACGTTGACGCTCAGGGTTTCCGTATTCTACAGCTGCTTCCGGCACTGTCCAATCACAGGCCGAGTTGTGCCATGGCAACAAGGATCGATGGATTCAGCTTGACGAAAACAAAACTGCATCTCGGACAGAGGGCGACGACTCTAGAACACGGCCAGACATGCTTTAGCAAGGGGCACGTTCGTAGTATACTTCATAGCTGTCCAACTTCGTTTGCATCGCCAGACTTCTAAGTTTTCCGTCGAACGACGGATTGCCCACGAAATGGGGCACCAGCCAACCCCCTTTGCGCTCTGATAAGTACCTGGCCACCTACGGCGTAGAGACGGCACGCTTGGACACACTATGGGACAGAGTACTCAGTAGGGCACAAGGGATCCCAAGGGAGGGATGAAGAAGGAGGCCACATCCTCCCATCTTGCCCTGGAGCCAACGAGCCACATTGCCTCTGCTTTTCTCTGAGTATGGAGTACTTGGCATGATGTTTAATGAACGTTGGTTAAATGCTGACGAGTTCAGAGCCTGGGTGCATCCAGATTGTCAATTTCTCTCCGGCTATCACATGAAAGGGACCCACCAGAGCCCGACTGCTAGTGACTCCCGTCCAAGGCGACGGCCTCTTCCCTAATCGACAAGGGACACTTTGACGCCTCTCGGAATACGATTCGTCTGGTGTTATGTCATCCAGTCTCCGCTGTCCTTTACAACCAGCCTGGAGGTGCCAGGCGCTACGGGCTCAATACAGAGAACACATGCTATGTACAGTCTGTGGGAGCACTTGAGAACATATTTGCCTATCAACAAGTAAGTATACGTTAATATACTGTAGTATATTATGGTTTACAGCGCGATAGCCAGGTACCTGACCTGGTTAAAAACTTTTTGCCTCCCACCACCTACTAGGTACCTAGGTACCCGGTGGGTAGCATCTTATTACGGCAGGCACTTACCTACTAGGTACATCTCCCACTAGGTAGTAGTCGATCGCTATCCCGCTGCCTGCAGTCCGCTAGAAGCCACACAAACTAGCTGCTGAATGGACCGGCTGGTGATGAAACAGCGGAACCCAGAGCGCCGAAGCACATGATTTAATAATACATCGCAGCAAATGTCGACAGAGGCCCTTCCTCTGCTTTCGTCGCATTGTCTGGTGCTTCACGTACAGTTCTCTCTCACGTGTGCAAAGACCGATTTCTATTCCGAGAGGAGAGAGAACGAAACCTTCGCCCGCAGCCCGCTTTCAATCTCTCTACCGTCTATCACGCTGAACGGCCCTCGCTGCTCTCTGCCTTCCCGTGATTGCGGCGAAACTCGATGTCTTCTCTCGTGTCCGACTTCATTATTAACCCCGTCCTACGCCAAGCTCGCCGCTTTTCTGAGATATCACGCACGACTCTAACTGGCGAGGACCATGAACCCACTCCTCCGTCGGATATTGATGCAGTGAGCGACTCCGGCATTGCCGGGGGCGTCGTACATGAAGCACTTGAGCAACTTGAGACACCCGCAGAAGAACCCATCGCGAGGCGGCCAGAGACACCCCGATCACCAGCCGTGAGCACATCGACACAGGAAACCAGAGTAGCAGACGCCCCGGAAACTCCTCCATCAGTTGGCAATACCACTCATGACCACTTGGGGTTTCCTCTGTCCCCGAGGAGGGGCCGAGCGATCCCGGAGGACGACGGAATGCACGAGTTGAGGAGACGCATTCAGGCTATAAATGCTGAAGATGCCCCCTCAGCCGAGAAAGCCAGGCGCATGCATGAATTACTTCTCGAAGACTACCGGGCTTCGCAAGTTACCAACCGAAGAAAACCTACACCCCATATGGAGGAAGAAGCATTGAGTCATGAATGGGAGCCTTCAACCTCCCCAGGTCCGTTGGAGTCTCTAAAATCATGGTATAATCACAGTACCGATCAACCCTCAACGGCGGACAAGTTCATCCTCTGCGACAGCGACATTGCCCCGACCTTTGCGCCGATACGTCCACGTAAGGGCTCGGATGTAGAGCTGCAAGGCCAAGGTTCCACGACGCCAACTGAATCTCAGGCGCCGTTGGGATGTCAACACTATGAACGAAACGTCAAGTTGCAGTGTTTTACTTGCAAAAAATGGTACACTTGCAGGTTTTGTCACGATGCTGCTGAAGACCACGGCCTAGTTCGAAGGGAAACGAGAAACATGTTGTGTATGCTCTGTGGAACACCACAAAAGGCTTCCGATATGTGCATCAACTGTGGCGAAGTTTCCGCTCACTATTACTGCAATATTTGCAAACTGTGGGAGAATCGAAAGAGCAAACCAATCTACCATTGTAATGACTGTGGTATCTGCCGCCGAGGGCTTGGTCTGGGCAAGGACTTTTTCCACTGCAAGGTAAGCATAGAGCACGTCTTCGTCCGGATATCATTACATTTACTCATTCATTTCAAGACCTGCCGTGCGTGTATAACCACGTCTATTCAGAGCTCTCACAAGTGTATCGAAAGGTCCACTGACTGCGACTGCCCAATCTGCGGAGAGTATATGTTCACGTCACCCAAGCCAGTGGTCTTCATGACATGCGGACATAGCATACATAAGAGGTGCTATGACCAACACATGGAAGTCTCATACAAGTGTCCAATCTGCAATAAGAGCCTAGCCAACATGGGAACCCAATTTCGCAATCTAGATGTCGCCATTATAAACCAGCCTATGCCCCCGGAATTTCGAGATACGAAAGCGACTGTCCTCTGCAATGATTGCTCTGGGAAATGTATTGTTCCCTACCACTGGCTTGGCCTGAAATGCTCGATATGTCAGTCATACAACACTGTGGAGTTGCAAATACATGGGCAAGGCAGCCAAGAACTTCAGACCGCCGCGGAGAGAGCTGAGGCAGCTGCAAGCGCGCAGCAGCCCTCACCCGACATTCAACGCCCGGCCATGACTCCTCCAGCGACTTCATCCCGAGCAGGGACTTGGATTCCAAATAGAAGACGGCACTCATCACACGGAATTGAGCTTCAGCACCATGCCCCGGATAGGTTCGCGCGATCATTGTCACCCCTTGAATCAGGCATCGATTACCACCTCACTCAAATTGCCGCTGATGTCGACTCCGAAGACGATATTTTGGGGTTCTGGAGAGGAAATAGGAGTCAAGAAGATCAGCCCGAGGATGAAGACGATGATCTCAGTGAAGAAGAGTCCGATTCTGATCTGGACAGTGACGGTGTCATTAGTACAGATGAGGATGAGGATGACGACGACGACATTCTTCTCATCGGACACAGGTGAAGAGTTTCGCAGTATTTTTATCAAGCAACCACGAGGAATGACTATATGCCGACAGCAGTGTGTATTTTTGAGGGTTCAGCATGACATTTGGAGTTGGAGGGTTGCTTTTCAATGAAGGGTATTTGTATTCATGTTTGAATTAACGCAACATGGCGCATCGTGGTATTCATTCGCATTACGAGGAACAGAAGGAACAAGCGATCAGAGTGAGCATTGGGAACTACATTCTACGAACAGCGTAATATCATATATTCACATCATTAAAGTCAAGTTCATTGTCCCAAACTCCAGCAATGTCCGATATATATTGCTCTTGAGGAAATCACACTTCATCACGTCATGCAAGTCATGCCCGTCTGCTAGCTACTTGCCTCTCAGCATCCTGAGCCTCCTGCCTCAACTCTTTGATTATTCCCTACAAACACGCCAAGGTCAGTTCTCCGGTGCATAAAAGTATCCAGATCCTGCTCTTACCGCCAGGGCTTCAGGGTTGACGCCCTTTTCGATCATTGACACACAGATCGATATGGCTCTTCTATCCAGGTGGCAGTTCTACCGACGTGTTAACGTTGTAGCCGGGGGGGTGAGGAGAAAGACGGGGGCGGCGGACCAGGAGGGTAGATATTTCGTGGAGAATGTCGACCGCTTGCTGGGCGGCCGCGCGCTTGTCGGGCTCGGGCTTCCTGCCTGGCTCGGGCATGGCGAGTTATGTTGTTGATGGTGGGAGGTTTGAGATTGGGCCATGTGGTGGGGAACGCGGTGGACGCGGTGGGTTTTGATGGGTGTGGATTGTATGGCAGAGCATGTATTGCCCTCCAGTATCTGACACATATGCTGAGCGGATGACTTGTATAGATGAGAAAATTTCATTAGGATTTAATCGACGGTGAAAAATTCAGTATTTCAGAAGATTCAAACAGGCCCTGGGAAAAATACATCGCCCCGTACGTAGCCCAACATACCCGAACACAGCCCAGAAAGTCCCCAAACACCACGCAGCATGCAAACATGGCCGATCCAATACAGTAATCATTTAATCATTGAGCAACAGTTTCGACTATGACTTCATAGCCTCCACAAACAGCTCCCTCATCCCCTTCAACAACACCACCAACTCTCTACTCTCATTCACCTTCTCCAGCACCCTCTCCACGTCGTCCCTCTCCAATTTCGGTCGACAGTGCTTGACGTCGTAATCTCTCGAGCTCGTCACCAGCTCAAACCACGCCTCTCTCTCCCAGTTCTTCTCATCGATGTGCGTATAAACAAACTTCAACCGGTCAGCCTGCCCCGCGCCCTCGATCCGCAAGCACAAGTTCGTTATCCAAAAATCTAGCTCCGGCACGTTGAACCTCTGCTGCGCTTCTTGCTGCGCTGCGTGCGCTCGCTGCGCCGCAAGCCGCGATTCTATCTCTGCTTGCGTCTGGGCGATTTGTTTTTTGAGGCTGTCTCGAGTAGCGAGGTGGGCGTCGCGCTGGGCGGAGAGCGAGGCAATGGCGGCTTCCATTTCTCGCGTTTCGGCGTCCTCCTTTTCGAGAGTTTGTTGGTAGGATGATGTTTTGGCCTGGACAATTTCTATGTCTCTTTTCTTCATGCGTTGGTCCTCTGTTTCGTCAAGTTAGTTGGGGGCTGTTGTTTGATGGCAAGCAAAATAAGTGTTCGTAGGGAAATTGTCATGCCTTGAAGCTCGACGACATTGATGCGGAATTTGTTGCGTTCCTCCAACACTCTTTTTCGACCTTGTTCGATGAATTCGTCGAACTTGGCGGTGAATTTGGCCATGCGATCCCGCAAATCGTCGAATCCGAAATTGATGCTTGGGAGAGAGTCGGCGACCGATGGCCCGACGGGGCCCATAGTTGGCCGGCTACCGCTGGCAGAAAATGAAGGTTCGAATGCTGTAGCCATTTCCGTTGTGCGCGTGCGTGTTCTCCTCGTTGTTTTAATTTCGGCAGCTGATTGACGTGTTGGACAATCTCTGAGTTGACAACTGGGTTCTTGGGTGTTTACCTCGTGTGGGCTGTTGCTGGGTCGACGCGACTGCCAGATTGTGACCACTTCCACGAGACGCGGTCACGTGCACCGTCTTGAAGAACTTCGAACTCCAACTATTTTTTTGCCGATGGGCACGTTGCTTCAAAAAAAGAGGCAAGGCGTCGTTGTCTTTTTATCCCAATGATGAGCTGAAATGCCCCAATATCGATGGCTCCGAATTTTAGGATTGTCGGGTCATTGGCAGAGTTGTATCCGGCATCGAAGCAGACAGTCCCAGAGTCTTCAACTGCCTTGTGGAAAGAGCGCCGGGTCCAACAGAGATGGCTGTTAAACTCCCACCCCGAAGCCTTTGTAGGTGGTGCTACAGAATTGGGTGATTACCTGAAAGAGGATATGGAACGATTTGAGAAATCGGAAGACAGCGATAATGACGGACCTCTTCTTGCTGTCGGCGAGATGAACGATGTGAGAACTCCCTCCAGGTTCAAGGGAACACCACTGCTGGCAGTGGCCACCGGAGAATCCGGTGCACGGCTGCGGCTGACGAGGATGGTCGAGTCTCAGTGGCGGTGGGGTGATAACAAGGATGCGATTCTCAATCTCTCAGTTGTTGACTCTATACATAAGGAGGAGGAGACGATATGGCCAGGCGACGGCTTACCCATTATGAAGATCAAATTTGCTACAGCTTACTGGCAACAAGGCTCGGTGCGGTGGCTTCTGGTCCAAAGCCAAACTTCCGTTACCATCTTGAGTCCTGAATATCATCGAAACCCATTGCCAGATAGCACTAGATCGGGTTCTCAGTCACAGCCGCCGTCTTTTATTGCGCCAAATCCTTTGATCACACTGCATCATCATCAGACAGGTGGCAATGCCTTCTCTGATGTTTGCTTCAATCCGCCATCCATTGGATCTCCGCCACAGATAGCCATCATTGACGAATGTGGTTATTGGAGTGTCTGGAGTCTACAAGGTACTTGGCAAGTAGCCAAGAAGACCCTGCGGCTGTCATTGTACAAGTGCGGCCACATATGTGAGGGTGTTATTGGAACAATCCCGAGTGTGTCCAGTTATCAAGCTCAGAGGCATGGCATGCTACAAATTGGACGAACCGATGGAGACGAATCGCCCAATGTCACCTCCAGGCGTGCGGAATACATCGAACCGACTCTTGGTCATTCTCACCATGTCCTAGTGTGGAACTCGGAACGCATCTCCCTCCTGGACCTAGATAGCGACTCCGTTTTGCCGCCTTCAGACATCCTGTCATCGCAGTCAAGAAAAAAGCCAATTTGTATTCTTGACATTCAGAAAAGCCCAAGCAACGAAAACCACGTATTCGTCCTGACCACTCGTCAGGTCATCTGGCTAGATTTATTTCCCGAGGGTACAGAGCCCGGAACTACCGCTCAACCGAAAACTCTACTCGCTTGCTCTCATATCGGCTTTTGGAATGCAGACTGCAAGATGTCTGTTTGCAAGGTGTCAGAAAATGAACCAGATGGCAGCATGGTCTTTGTTTTCTCACCTTTCGCAGATCAGCTGACCGTGTACTGGTTCAACTTTTCTCCAGATACGGAGCTCCCGCAATGGCACCGTCACATCACTTCTTTGTCCGCAGGAAGCAAAGAGCGGTCACTAAGCAAAGCGCAGTCTATTAGGGTGCAGCCTGCAGAGCTTGAGTTATCGGCTGCAGGTGATGAAGCTGGGCCAGGGACGGAATATGCCCATGCAGACACAAAGTTTTATCAGATCACGGTCCTTGATAGAGACTTGGGTGTGCGATACTGCATATGCGCCTCCTCCATTGATCCGTCGCTTGAAATAAGTCTGCCTACGTTCCGTATTGGTTGGACTAAATCAGCAAATCGTCGACGCTGGAAGCGGAGGAGAAATCGTTTCTTGCACCACATGATGGAAGCCTTCGTGCTGCCCGACGGCATGACGGACAACGACTTGGATTCTGTGCTTCAGGAGCAGAAATCCAGACCAAATGATGACGACACCTCTGGCGAAGTCATGGTAAGCAAGGCTCGGCCTGTATTGTTAAAATTTGCCTCCATAGCTCAAAGAATTGCGTCACACCTACAAGCTACGATTTCTGAAGGAGAGAGCGGTCTACCGACGCAGCTAATTGATGCTGTTCAGCGTATGATCGAGCATGGTATAGAGGAGAATTTTTTGTCTCTAACATCGTGGTGAGTTCGACGACTCCGGGTTCTGTACTGGGGAAAAAATATTAATATAAGCTGCAGGATGCAGATAGTTTCGACGCTCGAAAAACCGCTCGACTATGGGGAGCCTGGCGAAGGGATGGAAGCTGAGATTGAAGGTATACTGGGTAACACAGATGAACGTGTGGTTGTGACGCAACTGAGGAGACAATATGCAGATGAACCACCAGGTTCTCTTCTTGGTTATCCCTTATTAATGGAAAAATTTTCTGAACTGTGGCTCACGGCGGTAGCAGACTCCCTACCAGATGAGATGCAAGCGATTCGAAAAATCTGGGTGGCGGAGATTGCTAGAGCCTTTTTCTTGTCCAGCTACGGCGTCATGGTGCAGAATGTTCCCCTCATGGGACCGAGCGGTTACGAGCCTGTGGAAGAGAGTCATATGGACAGTGTCACGCCACGTTCTTCCAGTCAGTTACCGTATTCCAGCCAAGAAATTGCCTCATCATCGCAAGCCTCTGTTTCAGCAGATGATGTTCCCGATGCTTCCTTCCAGCGGCTCAAGCTTCTCACGCCAACCATCAAAGAAGGGACCCTGGGTTCGCTCAAACCGCCCAAGGTTCTTTCCTACTGGCCTGCAGAGCGTGGCGTCGACACTGAGAACTACGTTTCTAGTGTCGCAGTTGCAACAGAGGAGAAGTTCTCTCACGCCAAACGGCGTCTGCAGAGAATCGAAGCCAAGAGAAAGGCACAGTCTGAAAAATTCAAGCGCCCTGCGTTCATGCGACAAGGCTTCCCAGCCAGTGATGGCCTGGGCGAAGATGCCTCAAGTATGGACATGCGACCGCCCCCAGTGCAAGCAATGTCTAGTCAGCAGCGCATCCCGGACTCGTCGCAGTCTTTTGGTGTTTCGGGGCCCTCTGTGACAATGAGTCAGCCGGTTTCTGGTGCTTTTGGAGATAGAAAGAAGGTTAAGAAGGGGAAAAGGAAAAGTGGGTTCAGATAACGCGGTTTGCATAACTTGTTTGTTAAGATACCCGGGCGTTTATACATGGTTTGAAGGAAATTGGCAGCAAAGAAATATTTCTGACCTTTGGTTTTCTGGGAGTCACTGCCAACGTTTTCCAACACTCATTACCATGGACCCAAGACGGAGGCCAAGTTGCTTGAAAAATGTTACAAGGCTCGTACCTAAAATCGCTTGCTATGCCGCCAAATATCGCGCTACACTATGAGATGCTGGATCCATTAGCGAATGCATGGCGTTAGGACAACCAACATAGATCACCACTGAATGAACGAGTCCTAATGTGGCTGCAGCAGCCGGGACAGACCAGTCTACTGCAAGGTATGGAGGAAAATCGTTCAAAACTGCAGCTATAGCTATAGTTTATAAATTTTCGACAACAAGATAGAACCTGAAAACATGTGGACTGTAAAATTTTGGGGCATCTCTATACTCACCATTATCCCGGCCGCAACAAACATCATCAACTCGGCGGGGCATTTTCTCATCTCCACCACCAGCACCCTGTGCTCTCTCCAACTCATTCAACCATACCCATCACCAGGAAAACTATATACATCAATCCCCCCCATTCTCAAAGTGGACAGCTACATTCTTCACAACGTGAAACACAGTCTCAGACCTGGCCAGCACCATGTCCCACTGCCACGACGAACACGTCGGCCACGGCGCAGACGACCACCACCATGACCATGAACACGACCACTCAGACGACATCACCCCAGCCCTGCAGTCGTCGCTCTACCAGCAAATCAACTTTGATGAAATCACGACGCTCAATGAATCGGTACGAGACGCCGGCAAGGCCATCGTCAAGAAGACGTGGGCAGAGAGACTAAGTGCCGAGCCCGAGCTAGCAAGTGATGCCGATGAACAGCTGCTCATGACTGTACCGTACGTTTCCTCTCTCACCGCCCGCCACACT